CCCTCCCCAGAAAGATTCGGAGGCTATAGACTCGGAGCAGGTGGTCAAATATGAACCGAGGCTCCTCCGAGTTATTCGCAAAGTGATGAAGGAGGGTCAAGATCCTCCAAAGAGACGGATGAATCTGCCCGAGGCAGATTTCGTACCTCTTACAGAACTCGAGGATCACCGTATCCACCGGACCAAACGTGAAAGGATACGTATAAATGCTTAAACATAGTTCCACGTATGACGTGATGTCCTCATGGGGACTGGGAACAACTATGTATTTGCCCTCCCATTTGCAGTCCTCTCGGACTACTTGCTCGGTGATGGAGCAAACATACCTCCACGCCTCCTCACCTCGGTCTCCTTGTGTGGAGGATTTTTCGATCTTGAAGTCGTTATCTATGGAGCAGTCACCGGGGATAAACTCTGTAAGAGGAGGTCCGGGGGCTACTACCGAAAGCGTTGCCTCGGCGCCAGTGGCCGAGGAAGAAGTTGTGGGGGCAGTGCTTTGGGGTACCGATTTCAAAGTCTTAGCCATCTCAATTTGAAAATATAAAAGTTCGAAGGTTTGGTATGGAGGTTTGAAGATTTGGTATGAAGGTTTGAAGGTAAAGTATGAAGGTCTGAAGATAAGATATGAAGATATGAAGATATGAAGATGTGAAGAACAGGTAATGAAGATTTGAAGGATTGATGAACAGATGAAAAACTCGAGGGTAACTTAAGAAGGTTTGAAATCAGAAAGTAAAAAAGTGAAAAAAGGAAACCGGGGCTTTTATAGGGAAGGAATAATGAATGCATGACGTTTCACATTTTGTAACTACCAAGAATGGTCAATCGACGACCGACGCGTGTCCAAAATTAGAGTGGCATGACTGATGGGACCTTTTGGCTCGTCAACTTGCTTATGGTGTACGAAGGAAGGAACCGTGGTCAATTAATCACTTCTCATTGTTACTATAAATCTATTCTCTAAAAAAATGAGGGAACTATTTGTGTACGGGTAAAATCAGGGATAAAGTTACCCCCCGATTTTCCAATGAAGAAACGAGGAACAACGTGATTCGACGCTGGCTCGGGTAAGGCCGAGGGTGCCCGCAGATCAGAGCCTGGGGTGGATAAATGATACATCGGGAATCGATCATGGCCAAACATGGAAAGAATCAAGCTCGAGCGAAACGAAGAATAAGGGTTAAAGGGAAGACGGTTAAAGAGGACGAACGAGGAGCCGAAATATCTGCAACCAGCCGGATATTACGACACGAATCACGCAGGATATTAACTGCGGATCGTGTTTTCTTGGAAAAAAAGGAAGGAATGAATTTTTACCTTATTTAGACTTGTATTAGGGTTATAACTCCTCTACTATATAAAGAGGATAAACTTTTCATTTTTTGTGTCATTGTTGGCATGCTTATCAAAGCAATAAAGTTTACTTTTGTCTTTTAGCAATTGTTCAAGTGTTCTTCAAATTGTTCATCTATTTAGTTAAACCGAGCTCCATTCCAAGGGCTCGATTGGAACCGGTCTTTAGCACTCAAACCCAACGCCAGGCTTAATTACTTCGTCACATTTGGTTTGATCGTTTTGCTTTCCTTTAATTCAATTACTTGCTGTTCTTTGACCATTCGTGTTAAATTAAACCACGTATCCTTTAAACCGCGTACAAATTTAATTGTTACTCATTTTAAGGGTAAACAAAATTATTTAGGATTTAGGAGCAACAAAAACATTAGGTCAAAAAGGGAATATGGTGACAATAAGTTATTCGCGTTAGGCTCTACTGTGGAAATTTAGTGTGAGAATCTTAGTGGAACAATTGCTTGTAAATTAACTCGGACTTATTCTATCATCTAGTCTAGCTTAGAAGAAGTTAATTAGGAGGCAGGCCCGTGCTTTCAGTTGGCATATTCGAAATTTTTTGATATCCTGGTTTAAGTTATATATAATCTAAGCAATTTTGGTTTTTTGGCATGATGCAGCAGGCAGCTTATTCCATAGTAAATACGCAATACTCTACCTGATTATTACTGTTAAACAACATGAATTATCCTTGCTATTTAATTTCCACAAAGCATGCGTCTAATCATTTTCCGATAGAATAATCATTAATTAATTCGTTATGTGTTACATCTTAGAAAAAAATACTGTTTCAGAGATTGAAGAAATAGAAGTTTAGAATTGGATGAAAGTGATATACATTATCTGTAAAAACTATTAATCACAATATTGCATAATTAAAATAGGTGTTAGTCATGATTCTTTTTCCGTCTTTATTAATTTTGTTTTGTTTGGTATATCATTCTCAACTCTCAAGGTAGCGCAAATTTTGAAATTATGCTAATCTATGAACATAATAAGCATTTGAACTTGAGTATTGGAAATTAATAAACATGGCAAGTCACGATTTTGGAACAGTTAAGACTTCTTTATATATTTTTCATCACTGCCCGGAGACTTGTTTTAGGGGAAATATGCATTGTTATGCAGTGAATATTACCTTTTAAAACAAAAATGTTCAGCAATGTGTTGATACATAATAAACTTAATTTTACGCCTCTTGTTTATTACTGTGAAAACTATTTCCAGTAATATAAAAATGACCATGTCAAATATTATTGACCTACAGAAATGATTCAACCAAAAGGATTGATTAAAAAAAAGTTAACTAAATCAATAATTCAAACCAAGCCCTCAAACATCTTCTGGTATTCCCAATATAACCCATGGTTTGTCCACCATATTCTCAGCTTGATATGAAGGACCGCAAAGAACTCCGATGTAGAAATGATACCAAGTTACTTTAAAGGACTGTTATTTAAGAATTAGTCAGTGCGTCTTAAATTTCAGTTTTTTAGTTTGATTTCCAGGATAAAAATAAGTAGTGGCTAATCTCTAAATTGCATCCTTGAGAATGGCTATCTGTGTACTTTCCCCAGCACGTGAAAACCGGAGTA